ATAGATTCCGCTGCATTAGGATTTATTTCGATAAGTTCAATATTGTGCATTTTGTTTGACGTTCCTCATAGAACCCAATACAATCATAATGTTGCTGCCCATGGAAAGATGATTGTTCATTGGCCATAACCGATACGACCTTCTCCAAAACAGGTTCGGCACGACCGCAACCTCTTCGATGGCACGGTCGGCGTCATAATCACCACTTACCAATAGTAACCTCTAACAATCTCGGGTGCGTCTCCTCCACTAGATCCATATCGTTGTCCTCGTTCAAATCCAGGTCGAAGAGTTCTAGAGACAACGAAACAACCACGTCATCTACCATCTCAAATTCTGCTACCTCCGGCGTAAGAATACCACCATCTCTGTTATCCTCATCAGCGAAGATGCGCGATCATCCACGGTAGTTTCAAAGCCGACGGTTTAGTCCGGGGAAGAAAACTTAATAACTGAAGTAAGGAAAGTAAAAGAAAAAGAAGATTATTTTACCGGAAATCTCAAAAATCGCAGAAGATGTGAGAAATGCAGCAATGGCAGAGACAAGAAAGTTTCAGGTAGAGAATGTGAATTTCTTAAAATTAAAAAAAAAAAAAAGAAAGAAAATAAGCATGCATATTTATAGAAAGAGACCAATGATTGGACTGATGCCGTTAATTTGGAAAACAACTGTTTATAAAATGATGGGTCCCACTAGAAATTCCGAAAGAAACTTGATGAACAGTCAGATGGGCACAACATCATTCGAAATTGAACGAGCGCGAATTTTAAGGAGCATACATAACCCTTAAATATAAATTGTTCGCCTATCATCAATAAATGTCTGGGGAGATGCGCCTCTTCGATATATGCGCGAGTGGATGGGGCGGTTTCTTAGTCAACTCAGAGTGTCTGACCCTCATAAATAACGACTAGAAGCGTCACTCCCGATCTCGGCTGCATGTATGTTAACATCTGAGTTGAGCTGGATGGATCTAGAGCTAAGTACCATTATTGATTAAAAAATAGCTCCCTAAGTATGGTGCTAGGGTCGGAAGAACGTGGAAGAATGACGAACCTAAAAAATAAAGACATACGGGTGCCGAGCTTGACTTGAAAGAATAGCTGGTCGGGAGATCGACCAGCCAAGAAACAGTACGTCCAAGTCGCATGATTTGGACATGTCTAAAGGAGCGTCGTCGATTCAAGAAACATCAGCAGGTCAAACTCGAGTCCTCAAGTGACCTGGTGGAGGCTCGACCTGGAAGCAGTGCCAGTCGTCGGATCGACTAGACAAATAGAATATAGGAGCTCAAACTATCAGATCGTCTACCAAGAAACTTGGCCAGATGACTAGTGGTCGGAAGATCCGAGCTCAAGACTTGATTAAACTGAGAGATTTATTTATGAAGACCCAAGTCGATCACCCTAAGCGACAGAAAACGCTTAAAATAATGGCAACTTGTGCCCGCATCATTAATGACGGGAAAAAAGCCTGACTACCTACGTAGAAAAAGCTCCTTATGGTCATGTGCGACATTTAATGCTTGTTATTTCCATTTAATGCACAATTGTACTGCCCGAGGAACAGTAGTCTGGTCATACTTATTATAAGTAGTTCCAGGAAGCCTTTGAGAAAAGATTCAGAAAAAATTCTGTAAGAAGACCAATGTTCGCACGTTGAATACTGCAATTAATACGAGCACCAAGCTCAATTACCTGAAAATAAAATCTCGTTTATACTTATTTTTACACTTATTAATTGTTAAATTCCAAGCTTAAATAGTTTAATTACTTGATAACAAGCACTAAACGAGTGATTTCGGTTGATTAAATTCCATGATCAAGTGACGATGGGTCAACTCTACAATTATGGGATCAATGTTGTTACAAAAACATCGTGGAGCGTCCTGAGTCCAGGGAAGAGATACGTTTTTTGCGAAAAATGTCAGGTAAATGTTTAAATATGTTTAAATTTGTTAACCCTAGTTTCTGAATTAGGAAAATTCAGTAAATCTAGAGCTCGTGAAATTAAATTGCTTTTGTCTTTGAATTTTTTAGGTGGATGGTGGTTATTTATATTTTAAGTGGATTTTGTTTATATTTTAAGTTGATTAAAAAGTAACTAAAAATTTGGAGACGCGATATATTTGGTAAAGTAACTGAAAATTAGAACGTTACAAAATTTATTGGCAAAAAAAAGTAACGATTTTTTGGGGGGGGAGAACAAACTTTTAGGGCTTGCTTGGATATCATCCACCAAATGTTACATTTCATTCTCAATCCAATTCAAAATCTAACTCAACTTTAATTTTACCTCATTATCCTTAATATTATTAATATAATTAAATAATATCAATAGATCATTCTTACACATCACACCAACTTTAATTAATTATTCATCTACTCGCATAATTTTAACTAACTATCACTTCGCATCATCTCTCATACTTTTACATCAAATCAACTTTAATTAATATTTTTTAAATATTATTTTAATAAAAACTAAAAATTTCACTAACAACTAATTATAAAATATTTTTTCAAAGCCATGGTTAATCAAACAATCAATTTTGAGCAAAAAATTTTGTATCCAAACACGTCCTTAGTCATTAATTTTTTTCCCCTACAATATGTGATGTGTCATAATAGTTTGAAAGTTTTGTTTTAAAAATTACAATGTAATAACCCACTTTGATTTTAAAGAAATCCCGGGCTTTCTAAAATCAGAACAACATTTTTTCGAATTCATTTTCGAAATTCAAGGGCATTATCAAAACATTTTGTTAGTCTAAGTCTTATCTGGACCCACGGGGATTCATTACCCGATTTTTCACAAGGTTTTCATTAACCGATTCTCAACACATAACATAATACGCAGCTTAATTATAAAACATGCATAACTGGAATCTCATAAATCCAAGCAACATGAGTATTTCGAATCCAACCCAAAACAAACATCATAAGTTCGAAAACGGTTTTCAACAAGTCTCAGCACGGTTCATAATAAGTGGAAGCTAAATGCAATAAATTAAAACCACCCACTCGTCCTTTGTCCCGTCACCCGACCACTGCTTAACCTGCATCCATGAAGAGCAGGTGAGAGTGAGCACAAGATGAAGATGAAGTGCTCACTACTATGCACACATAACATAATAATAATAATGTAAAGAAGGTGTGGTCGCAACATGAACATAAATCAATTACCTGTCACATCCCCATATCACAACACAACATACTACCCCTGTGTACACATCTTTCATTAGCCACGGAAAGGAGATTCATTACCCTAACGGTGGGGGTACGTGCCACGCTACGGACACGGCCTTTCACTAGGTCTTAGGGGGACTTACCTCGCAAGGGCAATCGTATTATATCGACGGGGACAACCGTACCGACCGCCGAAATGGCTCACGCCGATAGGCTACATGGTTTACATGCATACTTAGACCATATCAACCCAACATTAAAGTAAACACATACGGCATAGCAAATTTTATAAGTTAACCCACCTGGATTCCGGATTGATATCAGCAAAACAGAAGAGACATAGGTTGAGGCTTGACTCCTCAAATACCTACATTATGTCAAGATCCTAACATCAATACCTAACCTGACTTGATCAGAAAACACACAACTGACTTAATCGAACTTGATTCGACTAAGCTGTTCGTGAAGTCTTGTGGACGTTGGAACTCTAGGACTTAGACTCGAACAACCATACATGGGTTTTCACGTACATATCACATAACGATGGTTCAAACAAGTCAAGACCACAACAAGAAATCCGGTTTATAGATTTTTACACAAGAACTACATTTTTGAAAAATAGAAAACGAAATATCACATAATTAGGTTGATCAAGTTTTTGAATGAGTTAGGTTCTGAAACTTTAACATAAATTCTTTCTCAATGGACTTAGTAAAACCACCAAGTTTCAGCCCCAAACTCATTATATACAATTTTATAAAATTCAAACACGATTTCAACAAAAACGAGCATAAAATTCATGGCCTGACCTAATGAAGGAATTGGTACTTGAAATGTTTACTGGAGCAACTACAGCAGGTAAGGAGTAATACATAAAAATTTTAGCTTTAAACAATACACAGACAAATTTTTAAAATTCCAACAAGTTTCTGCAGTTTCCGAATTTATAATTAAAACCGAACCAATTCGAACTCCAAAAATCTCATTCTTTTTACAACATGAAACTCCACATAAAACAAGCACTTCAGCTAAAAGTCAGAATTTTCCAGCAACTGACCAATTTATCATAATTAAAACTATTTTGAGCAGAATACTCGAATAAATTATTTGCCCTATCAAACTTAGTCCAAAAATTCTAAACATTTTACACAGCGTACAATTATCAAAGAGGAACAACATATTAAAATTTCAGCAAATTTGGAGCTCAAATCGATTTTATATAATTTTTCGAAGTTTCTGCCCAGAAATCACTTTAATTATTAAAAATAGCTACAGGCCGTAAAAAAATTATGAAATTTTCACGCAAGCCTTGTAATCATCATAAGACACAACCCTCAAAATATCAAGGCAATCTGGTCAGTACATAATTTTTAAAAATTCAAACACTAAAACAACGAGCATACGAGTTCGGTAAATTCACATTTGACTCATAACATATAATTCTCGCCTAAGGCCTTCTCTTAAGGCCAAGGACTCGACCTGATTCCAATATCCACAGCCTTACACGCATTTCGAAGTCTCACTCGATCCTTCAAAAATGAGGAGGTCCACAAAACACCACAACACAATAAATCCCATTTTATTACATAGCATAATAACACGTATATTTAATCGCAAATCAAGCACAACACATAATTTAAACACATAATGCAAACAATATACACGATTTAACGAGACGAGGTTCGACTGGGTACCGTTCTCGAGAAAAACTCAGAGAAACGGAACGTAGGACAAGAACGGGATTGTCGGGCTCGACGGATTCTCGCGTCTCGCTGGGAGAGGAGTGCAGCGGGGGTTGGTTCTCGGCTGCTATGGTTGCTGCCAGTGGCTTGCTCAAACAACGGACGTCGCGGAAGGGGGGGTCCTTGAAAGCAACGAACAGAACACGCGTGAACGAAAAATCGCCAGAGGAAAACGACGTACAACGGTTGATTACGAAGGTCTCGCGAGCAATAGACCGAGAGAATCACACGATAACAGCAAGTCGGGGGCTCGGGCTCGCCTGCGGGAGGAGCAGCGAACGGCCTGGACATCGACTTGCGGGGACGGAGGCGTGGTGCGTATGTGGGTGTCGACCCCCGAAGGCGAGAAGGACCAAGGGCCGATACTATCCAAGAAGGCCGAGCAAAGGGCTGAAACAAGGTTTCCATGGCCTAGAAGACGCGCACGAGCCCGAATACAAGGGTTTCTATGTGCGCAATGGCATAGGAGGTCGAGCATGCAAGGGTCTACCACGATAAGGAGGTCGAGCAAGAAGCTTGAGAGATCAAGGCTTGAAGGGTCGATGGTGACAATAGC